TTTTTGACCTCTCCAGGACGGTCTTAATAAGCTCCACGATTGGTCTGTGACCCGATCCGTTGTACTTAACATCAGTAAATGCATTGAAGTTCCATTTAGTCTTAATACCGATCCCCGTTATCCTTCATAAGTTTATAATCTCCCTCATCTCAGAATAAACAATCAAAGCCTTCCCAAATCTGTATCTGTTAAATACCTTGGTGTCACCCTTGCTCATAACCTGTGCTGGTCTGCTCATGTCATCAGCGTTTTCACAAAAGTTCGAAAACTGTCTTCCTATGCTTACAGGCTCAGAAAACTGGACGTAATACATAATCTTATCTTTAAATTTTTGATTGCATACATTCTTCCACACCGGCTATGCTGCTCCCCGATTTTTATCCCTGGAATGATAGAAAAAGACTTCTCTTTAATTTCAAGATCCCTTAAACTTTTGTCCCGCTACAGTGGAATTGGTAGAGCTCTTTTAGTTGATTTCTTTTTTTCAAAGCATCTTGACGCTTGTGATAGATTCATTGACAGGATAACACGTGATCAGAGGCACTGTCTGCACCAAGATATCGCGAAAGCCCTGTTGAATCCCCGAACACGCTCCAAATATCAACTGCTTCCTGCTCGGACTTCCACATATCGAAACAGTGTAATTCCATGTCTAGCTCGTTTACTAGTAAATCGTCAGAATATTCTCACCCACCTCAGAGAAAAGCTCTTGCCCTAATTTTTCTCTCATTTAATAAAGTGTAGAATTTCTTAAATTGCCTTTGTTGTTTCCAATTGTTATACCTATCCACTGTCAAAATCGTAAACTGCTGAAAATTCACCCTTTGGGTGCATAAAGCTTTTCTTGACTTGGCTTGAAGTTGAAAGGTTGTGTATATTGTGCTAGCGTTCATTCAGTTCGGTGTTTTTGGTTGTGAGACCTTGAATTTGCGAGTAGAAGATATCTGTCGATTAGATGTTTTCGATTATCGGTGTTTACGCAGTTTAGCCCACGTGGGATGGAGTGAACAGATTAGTAATCTGGAGGTAGGCTGTTGTATTACGTATGCCCGGCTGTCGTCCGCGCACAGCGCTTTATTCGCTGTAGCTCCTCCGGGCTGGAGGAAACCACGTGAACGTAAACGGATGACGTGGAGACGAGGCATGAAGAAATGCACAGAGCCATTAGGTAGAGTAGGTTTCNCTCGCATTCCAGGTTTGGGTCCGAAAGACTCCGCAACTGGTTGGTTGGAGACATTAAAGGATATGACAGAGAACTGACAGCAGTGGTGTTCTCGTTGTCATTTCTTGTCAGGTCAGAATGCTTGAAATGGTATGTATGCAGAGTTCGATTGCGTACTGTGTGTGTTGACCATAGTGGCTCATCTTCTTCTCCCATCCTCAAAATAGATCCAACCCCTGCCCACCTTAAATTGTACCATTAACCTTGTATGCATGTGAGTTTGGCAGCTGTCAGTGAAGTTCGCTTCACGGTATTTCGCTGTACGATGATGATGATGATGAATATTATACGTACGCGACCGATGAGAGTAAACGAAAGGAATTTCTCTCGCCGTGTTTGTGTTCTGACTTGCCTGTTCAGTTTCAAATCGCTCCGCCGGTATTCATTTGTGCACATCATACAGTCACCCTGATCTCTTTAAATACACAATCGGATACTTCCGTGACCTCTCCACGTCTAGGTGCTGGGAGCTGATTACTAGTACCAACTCGATTACGTCTGCCATCCTGGATCGCTGGATATTCCGAGTATTACACCTTCATAAGGAAGTCTTCTAATGAGCCACTGTAAGCCCCGTGGATACTACC